CATGCCAATCCACTCCTCACTTGGCTCCGAATATATATATATATATATAACAAAATCATTTTCATCCCACGTTCCTGTAAACATTCATATGTTTGTTGCCGCAAAACGCCAAAGCTCCTTGAACATTTCTACGTCCCAGTCAGTTTCATCCCCAACTTCTTGAAACTAAACTTCACACGAACAATTCAGTCAATGAACCTTCAAGCCCATGTCATCCCAGATTTGCTTTAGAACAGTTCTGCATCCCAGAACCTATGAACTGACAAGGGCAACCTCTGCAGGAAACAAGCAATTCAAAATGCAATTTGGCTACGGCAAGGCTGTCGGAGATGGACTTTGGAATGGGGGGATCGCAAAAAGGCAAGACCCATCAGGACACAACTGACTCAAACAAGCGTGCGAACCAGCAAAAACAACAGCCCGCTAAAACATGATAAGTGCGATGCCGGAGCTGTTGCGACAAAACCGACTTGTTTTTTGCAAGCTCCGCCAGCCGGGTGCTGCCTGGGGTCGGGAGTGTGACGTGAGAGAAGGGTCGAGCCAAGCTCACTCACTTTGAGTCAATTGCTGGTGGCTTGCATGATATCCTGAACGCCTGAGTGCGGCGAGAAAACTTTCAAATGAAGTTTTCACGAAATAATGCTTGTGGAGTTTTCTAACACTTCACTGTGCCATACAGCATGGTATGCAACGAGGCGCTGAGATCACTCGCAATAGCATTGCGGGGTCAAAGGAAAATCCAATTCAAATCGGATGCCTTGGATGATGGAGCACTTTCTTTGCTTGCTTTGTTCGCTGCGCCTGTTGGCTTGCTGTCTGGGGGGGGCGAAGCGAGAGTTAACCTATGATCCTGGCATCTTTATGGTAGCTCGGCTGCCCCTGTGCAGGAACAACCCTGTCTACACCACAAGCCAAAGTCCAGGAGAGTGGCTCGGGTGTGGCGGTTGACTGTTCAGGAGGGCTCATCTAAAGACCCTCATCTTCACAGCGCCCTTTGGGGAAGCCTAGCTTCCATGACCTGAAGATGGTGAGTGCTGAGCTTCTTTTTCGTGGCTCCGCCGGACACGCTTGCAAGAACCAGCGAGGATGAGGAAAAGCAATCTACTGGCACAAGGCTGATGCTGTAGACCATGCCGAGAAGTAGCGTTGCTTTGGAACTTGAGCCGCCCATTGTCTCTCCCTATGCGAAATGGCACATCATTGGGATTCTCTGTTTACCAAGATTCACTCATCTCCTTCACCAAGCCATGGATGTCTTAAAATTTTGACTGTGTCACAGCTCACAGCCAAGCAACTTCTTGCGTGGTTCGGAATAAGCGCGCTGGCCGTCATGTGGTGGTTACCCCCAAAGGCGTATTCTTGATGCATTACTTGTGGTACATACATCAGCTTGATCTCGCCAATTGTTGGGTCATTGTTTTAAAGCCCGGGAGCTATGGCATGGCTGATCCCTTCAATATTCCTGGAAATTGGGTTAGCCGTCCTTTCTGGCTTGTCCTGGATGGAGAGACCAATCTTCAAGAAGGCAATCATGGTTTAAACGCACAACTTTTTCAGATGGAGCGCTAATCACTTTTCACTTTAATCAAGCAGCTCTAAATCGTGTCTCGTTGCAAAAAAGTGCAAGTCTTCACTACCAACTACCTCACCGTTCTGGTTATACCGCCCTTCGCCGTCACCTTAACCAGTGATTCAATCTATTTCAGTACGGTCTGATCTTGTCGAGCTACCAAAGGACAACATCGAACTTCTCCAGTGCTTACCCTCACCTCGTGGGCGTCTACAAATCTAGTCCTCTTCATCCCAGGATGGTTCAAAACTATCTTCCGGCGAGAAACTTTTAAACTTACCACCGTCATGCCAAGGTCTGCTTGCCCGCTTTTGTTTGAAAGTGTGTATCCCACAAACTGTTGAACTGACAAGCACCCCTCTAAACTCCAGGATGCTTTCAGCTTCATCCCAGGTTCCTTTGAAACCTTCAGGTCTCTCTGACGTCTCTCTGACCGATCTTCATGCCAAAAAAGTGATCACCATGTTCCGTTGAACCTTCCAAGTGCATGTCGCCTCACATTTACTTGTGGCCCAGAGAGGGGTGGCGAAAGCTAGGCAAAGAAACAACGCTGGGGCTCTTTAGGGGCAAAAGCCTGGCCGGGAATCGCAACATGCCATGGCCAAGGGAAAAGGAGAGTGCCAACAGCGCCCCCCCTATACGACCCCAACACAGCCAACACATGGCAACACACAACCACCCCAGCAACCGCAGCAGCAGCAGCAGCAGCAGCAAGCAGAAGCTACCAAGCAGCAGCAGAAGCAGCAGCAGGAGTAGCTAGCAAGCAGCAGCACCAGCTACCAAGCAGCAGCAGCAGCAGCAGCAGGAGCAGCTACCAAGCAGCAGCAGCAGCAGCAGCAGCTTCCAAGCAGCAGCAGCAGCTACCAAGCAGCAGCAGCAGCTTCCAAGCAGCAGCAGCAGCAGCAGCAGCAGCAACCAAGCAGCAGCACCAGCTACCAAGCAGCAGCAGCAGCAGCAGCAGGGAAGGAGTGAGCTTTCCTTAGAGTCTTTCGTGCCCCAACATTTGGTCTCGAACAATAGCGCGTATAGGTGCTGCCTGAGTAATTGTAGAAGGGCGACGTGGAAAGACAGATATATCTGATATATCTGTTTTTCCACGAATAAATGCTGACGATGCAGCCAGCAGCGGTGTGCATGATTGACATCTAGGGGTTGCATGCGAACATGTGTCAGCGACCGAAGACTCCGTCGCAACGCTTGTGCATCTCCCCTTCGCTCGAACATGGAACGCGGACTACCATGAGTGAAGCAAACAGCCCGTTCAAACATCTTACTGGGTTCTGTCATTCATGTGTGTAGTAAGTATCATCTTTTGATCTGCATGGATAGCGGATAGTGCATTCTGATTTGTACTCTTGGGGGTTGTGGGGTGGGTACATGCCTGTACAAGCTTCTTAAGGATATAATGAAATTAGCATCGTTTCACGACTCAGAGGGAATGCAACTACTCTAACGAATAGGCTTTCTTCAGCACCAACAGCAGCCAACAACCCCAAACAGCAACAGCAGCAAAACGGAGCAAACAACAAGCAGCAGGCGGCCAGCATCCAGCAGCAGCAAGCATGCAAGCATCAGCAACCAGCAAGCAGCCAAGAGCATCCAGCAGCACCAAGCATGCAAGCAGCAAGCAGCAGCAACCAGCAAGCAGCCAAGAGCCAGGCGCAGATGAGATGCCAGCAGCAGCAGCAGCGACCAAGCAGCAGCAGCAGGTACCGAGGAGGAGAAGGGTGGAGTTGAACCCCGGGGGGGGGGGGGGGGGGGGGGGGGCATAGTCCTGATATATCAGGTAACAGCACTCAGGTCCTGGGCTCCCACCCTCCTTGCTAAAGCAAGACAGACTCCAGCTAGCTACAGCTAGCTTTCGTGATAATTGAAACTTGTTCACAGCCAAAAACCGTTGAACAAACACGCCCTCATCAGAAATGTATTTCAATTAAGCTTCATCCCAGGTCAGGGTCCAAACTCCGCCAGTTCATGTTTTATGCGAGCTCGAAAAAGCAAAACAATTTCCACTACTTTGGGACACTTCGGAAAAGCACGCTCTCTTTTCCGTCTGCGCTTGGGACCTGAACGGTCCTGAGTGCAACGCTCAAAAAAACCCTTGGGGTGGCCTGGCGGCCGAGCGAAGCTGTCAATCAAGCTGGTGGCTCATGACTTGGGCTGTGAATAGGCCCCAACAGGCTGCAGGTGGATTGCCGACGGGACCCGTCTAACAATCTGGTGGGTTGGAGCATAGCCACTGTGATGAGCCACCATTAAGTTGCGAGGTCTTGTTATCAAGACTCACAAAAAGAAGCAAGTGACCTCAGCTTTGGTCGCTTTTCTGTGCAATCACGGGATGCATATTATATATTTAGTAAACAAATTGCAGCCGTCTGCAGTCCATGATAGCACTTGATCTTGCAACCCTGACATGTTTCAATCCTGTCACATAACCTGCGCTACTCCGAGAAAGGAACAACGAAGGAAAAACAAAACCCAATAGTTTGGGAAAGTGATCGCAAAACCTTTTGCGTTCCTTTTGCGTTGACACTTTGCCCGCGCGTGGCATTCCGAGCGGCAATTTTCAATGTTCCAGTTGGCTTCTTCTTTGCGGGAAGGCGATTGAACAAAGCACATTGGCAGTAAGATCGAACAAGCTAGGTACAGTGGCACTATATACACGGGTTTGTTCGGGCAGGGTGGACAAAATGAAGCCGGAAGTGTGACAGTGGAGGAAAGGGGCAGGACACCATAGCTAAAGAGTGACAGGAAATGTTGCACGTCCAAACAGCAAAAACTGCACAGTATGCAAAGTGTTGATCAAGGGATGCGTGATGCAGCCTACAGTGGGGCAATCGCGTGCAATGGATTTTCTTGTTATCATGCCAGGCATTTTGATGCTGTTCTGTGTGGCTTTGAGGTGAGTCGAAACGTGGTGACACAATGGGAGGTGGTGCAGAAAGTGCAACATCGTGACTTTGCAGTGCAGTGAAATGCTGAGGGCGGAAATGCCTGGTGGTGATTTGTGGGGCGGCCAGAGTTGCGGCACAGCAAACCAGTCTGAGTACCTGAGAACCACCCGACCTTATTGAAAAGGTCAAGTATTTTACCGCTCCTGTGTCAACAAAGTGCCAACACAATGTGTTAACAATTCTGTATGTACTGTTCTACCGGCTTTCCAACGCCCCTTTACCCAGTCCACGCAAATGGCTGGCACTTCCTGCCGGCACGTGATAGAGACACCCGCTAGCGAAGTGCAGCCGAGTGTGAAACAGTGACGCCTAAAAATAGAATACATGTAAACAGGGTAGAACACCAATGAAAGAGTTTTTATGAACAAATCAATTGCATGTCCTATCACAAGTTCTCTCGCCCCGTCTCCAGCCAAGCCAAGCTATGCTTAATATAGCAGGCCTAAACCAATTGCAACCTCCCTTTTGATCAGGATCTTAGAAAAACAAGAACTTGGCATTCTCAAAGGCAAGGTTGGCTAGACTAGGGGTTGTCCATGAATATGTAAGACAACATGACTGAATTGGGTGAGGCTGAAAGCTCAAGGCAAAGTAGAAGTTATGCAAAACAAGTTGGAGCACAAACGCATGGATATGCCACAAGAGGTATGACAGGATCCGAGAAGTGGTGGGTAGAAAGGATCAACAAAGGAAGTGATGCATTGGTGAAAGTGAAAGGGCGAAGGGACGATCATTTGCGTCCTTCCCTGTACGACTTCTCATAAATCTGTCAGGGGCTGAAGGGGGAAGTGGACTCCAAATTCCGAATCGGCGGTTGCTTGCATAGAGGATTCCTCTTCAAAGATGACTTCCTCGAACATCTGTTTTCACACGTCTTCTCGACGAGTGTCTCCAACAACCTAATAGACCAACCAATTCAGAAGAGCGGCTAGCATTGCAGTGGAAGCCGCCTCAATTGGGCTGTCCCTTGCCTTCTGATTTCCTTTCTTGATCCTAGAGGCTAGAAAGAACATGCTATCTGACGACCTACGACTTCTACACATTGTACATTGCCACTTCTACATCACTTCTGCATCTGTCAGAACATACTGGCAGCACTGCTTCTGCGTCTGCAAAGTTCATGTGTGACCCTGGCACATCTATATACATGTGTAGAAATACTCATTCAAAGCGCGCGCCCGTTTTCACAGCGCGTCGTGATTATATAAGGAGAGCGGGCCGCCATGGGGCCTGCTTTTTAGTTTTCCATAAATTTAAGCAAGCATTTTGAAGTGGCAGCCCGCTCGTCCTATCTAATATGGCACATAAACATGCATTATGCAAATTTAAGGAAAACACTTTTTTGGGGAAATCTACTTTCCCAGAGATCCAAAGGAAAGCTTTTAAACGACAGATTTTTATAAAACTTTTCAATATGGAAGTAATCATTCCCAGAGGTCTAAAGGACAACTATTGAACTAAACACTTATATACAACGATTAATCAAAAATAGACGTTGATATTTATAGAGACCTAATAGGAAAGCTATTGAAGTAAACACCGTTTGTATATGAAAATATTATTTCCAGAGATCTAGAGGACACTTTTGACATGCACGCTTATTTACAAGGCTTGTAATATAGAAGTGATCATTCCCAAGGATCTAAGGGAAAGCTATTGAAATAACATGTGTTTTAAACGGTGTAGATATGATTGTTCCCAGAGGTCAAGCAAGGACAAGCTATTGAAACACATAGTTTCTTAATATAGTTTTTGAAGCTTAATGACAATGCCCAGAGATCCAAATAAACGCTTTTGAACTAAACCTTTGTATTTTTCCATTACAGAAGTGATCATTCCCAGAGATCTAGGACGACAGCTTTTGCAAGACATTTTTTAAAGTAGAGTTCTATTTTTCGTATAGAAAGGAACTTACTAGATTACTTAAACCATCTATCTGTCTACTCAACAACAATGTTTTTACCTAGATGCCAATACTCCCAGGGCAAGAAAACAGCATAATAAAACACGGGGTTTTGTACCATTTGTTTTCTTAAATCCACAACCCCGGCAACACGGGCTCCCTATAATTAAAATAGAATTGAATTTGACTTAATGTTGAATTGAGTTAGAGTTAAGCATTAAATCACATCAGCGCTGAGTCAATATTCAATTCACATTGAGTTAAGATAGAATGATATTGAGATTAAATATCGAAATTAGGTGTGAATTACAGTTGAAATCGAAATAGCACCAAACTTGACTTCGAATCAAATTGGATTTGAATCAGCTTTGGATTTGAATAAGTTAACATCAAGTTAGATTGAAATTAAAGTTGATTTTGAATGAAATTGGAATCAAACTAGATTTGAACATGGTAATTAGAATGAAATTATAGTTCATTCAAAACTGCAGCTTCCACATGTTCATTACAGTTTCATATGTCAAAATGCCGGAAATGCAAAAACACTGAAACCAATCAGAAACCGATGTGCGCAAAAAATCAAACAGCTTGAAAAAACAATTACACACATTCTGGAGAAGTCTTGGGGAAGGGGTGGGTCCAGCCAAGAATCTCTGAGAACTGTTTTGATTTTTTGCGAGGGGGTTTGATACTTTTCTCACTTATTTTGGTTTCCGGCAATTTCTTTCGTTTTCCTTTTTCCATTGTGTTTGCAAATAGTTTGTCCCAATAATCTAAACGTTCAATGAAATTCAATACAACTTAAGTCTAGACAAAGGAAAACCAAAACACAGGCCCCATGGCGGCCCCTTTTCTGTGTTTAAAATACTCTGTGTGGACCGCGTGCGCATCTTCGCTGGGCAGCTTGCGCGTGTGCGCGTGCGTATTGTCGCTTTGCATTACGCATATGCATCGACATGTGGATCTTTGTTGGTTGGTTGTGCTACGTATTATGTAGAAGCACGCGCGCAGGTTTTGCCTCGCCATCGCCGCAAAAATTACTTGAGAACCCGTATATGAAAGCACACCAAAAACAATACTTAAAACCTAACCAGAATCACAATTGTTGTTCATGTTGCCTCCGCACTGGCTTTGAAGGTTTCATGCACAGGATCTTGCTGTGAACAATCTTGCTGAATGCATGCATTCAGTGCATTCAAGAAAAGGACATTTCGGTGTGGTTGAAGGTCTGCTCTGCCTGCATGAATGTGAGCAAAGGAGGTCGCAGGTGTTGTGGACAATTGGGAACACCGCCAAGTACAATTCCGCCTGCCCTCCACGTCCTCCACAAGGCATTCCGTGACCTTGAGCACCTCCTTTGCAGGACTATGTTTAGCAGGCCTCTAGGACCAGAATCAACCGGACGACCAAGAGCTCCCGAAGCCTCCGCCTTGACACGCGTGCATCATAATCGCCACTGCAAAAAAGATCAGGTTTCCCCGTCTTGCCGGTCTCTGTGCTCTTCTGAACAAAGAATTTCTTGTGGGCGAAGTCGGCCTGCATCTGCTCGGGGTCGTGTGGAAGAACTCTGTAAACGAGAACAGAAAACACGAAGATCAAGATCAAACACTTTTGCAGGCGATTCATGGGTTGGGCGAGCCAATCCCACCGCGCAGAACATTTCACACAAGTTCACTGGAGGTCAATGGCCTCACCACAGTTCAGACTGCGATTTTGCCTTGCGAGTGTGTGCAAAAGAAGACATGCTCTTTTCCCAGCCCATCACCTACAATGATGTGAGACTTCCGAACCTACCAAGGACAGATTGTTGAAAACCACAATCTAATAGCGAATGCAAAAATGGTAGACCCGGTCCCAAACTCTGCCAACGAGACTGGCTCATGAGGCCCCAGCTCCTTCCCCTTGCACCTCACAACGCATCCTCCTGAATCTCCCCTCGCTTGCCTGGCACAAATGCGGAGGCGCAACTGTGGGTGCACCATCACTTCCAAATTGAGACTTGTGGAAACAGCAACACCAAGAACTATTCTGGTGAGAGTTGCTCGCCAACGTCCATGGCCACGTTTATGTAGCTAATCAAACAACAAAACATCATGACGCGCAACTGGAAGCCCACAACAATGGCCTGTTACTTCCCACTTCTCCAAGATAAAAGTTCTTCGCACGGCATCGTCAAGACTAAAGGTCTCTGTTCTGAGTGTCAGAAAAACAGAAATTGCGGAGTCATACAGTAGCTGACGCGGAGTTCTTTTGATGCAGGCCACCATGTGTTTGAGAAATCATTTGCCGACATTCATTGATGCCTTGAAGACGCAAGGGTTTCGAAAGACTTTCTTTGTCATCCTCCCAACGAATGTTGAGATGAACTCCTGTATACCAATATGTTGCAATGAAGTACTGAGCTCCTGCGTTCAGGCTCGAACAACCTTCTCTGATTTCCATTCTGGAATTTGGATGAACTTGGACCTTGATGGTCCGAATGGTCTTTCGAGCCCCCTGAACTCCCACTTGCTCAAGTTGGGGTGACCATATTTAGACTTCTTTCCAAAAAACCTTAGATTCCTTTGGGCTGTCTCTCGGGTTTGAAAGCATTTTTCACTGGTGTCAGGGCCCGGATTGAAAGCAACAACCAGCCTTGTGATTATGGGGTGCTGTCAAGTCTAAAATCGGCTGTTTCCCTGCCAACTTCCTCACTGCCTGGATGAACCCTGTGGCTGCTCAGTACTTAGCAGGGGTAACATGCTTAGGTGCTGAGTTTTTATTGTTTGAAACCAAGATTGTCAAAAAACGTTGACGTAGACAATTGTTTGGCATGGTTTCTTTGCATGTTTTGGGCATGTTCATGTGCTCTATATAACCTTTGCACCAACACTTTTTACAGCGCACACACATGGATGGTCTGAAACATTCAAGACTGTTTGCAATGTAAAAGCCAATGATGCTTGCTGGACAACCAATCTCTTCTTCCCAGTTCTTCTTATTCCCAGTCTCTGCTTCCCATTCTTTTTCCCCATCTCTTCTCCTTCTTTCCAGTCTTTTCTTCTCGCACTCTTCATCGCATTCTCTTCCCGAATTCTTCGCACTCTCTTCTCTGGTTTTTTCTTCCCATTTAGTTCTTCCCTGTCTCTTCTTCCCATGCTCTCCTTGAGTTCTCTTCCCGATTTCTTAACAGTCTCTTCTTCCCGTTCTCTTCTCCCTTTCCGTTCTTCCTATTCTCTTCTCCACATTCCTTTCTTCCCCATCCCTTCTTCCCAGTCGCTTCTTCCCACTCTTGTCTGACCTGTCTCTTCTTCCAAGTCTCCTCTTGGCACTATCTTCTTCCCAATCTCTTCTTCCCAGTCTTTTCTTTCCACTCTTTTCTTACCAGTCTCTTCTTCCCAGTCTGTTTTTTCACTGTCTTCACTTACCACTCTTTTCTTCCCAGTCTGTTCTTCCCTGTCTCCGATTACCACTCTCTTCTTCCCAGTCAGTCGCCTCTTGGCACTCTCTTCCACCCACTGTCTTAGACCCACTCTATTTTTCCCAGACTCTTCTGTCATTTTTTTACCTTTCTTTTCTTCCCATTATCTTCGTCACAGGCTCTTCTTCCCAGGCTT